GGCCACCCCCCCAAACCCCAAGAGAGGAGAACAGACTCGAGTCCCAGAACACGGAGGCATCCTGAGGAAGGATGGATTGTTGCGAAGCCACGGTGTCCCTAAGATCGCATGGACCAGGCGGGTCCCAGATAGAATCGCACAAGTGACATCTCCTGGTGTCAGCCAATCGGTGGGAGGCAAAGAGAGGAGAGGAGGACACAAATAGGTCTCGATACAGACCCAAATGCAAATTCCGTGGGGCGTCAAATACCCCGCTCCATTAGTATTGGAGCCTGTTCTCTGAGGCCGCAATTAGGTAAGATACCCAGACCTCTGAAGATTCCGTGACATTAAATTTGTGCACTTGCATTCCGTGAAACATTGCCACGGCAAACTTCCGAGTGCGAGGTGCACATGGGCCGCGAAAAAGGCGACGGTCTTTCCCGGTCCTAGCAAAAGACCCATGTTGATCAGCAAACGTCAAAATAGACCGAATGGAGCAGATGATAGGAGAAATCCCCTGAATAATGTTCCAGAACTGATCTGGTTCAACATACCCCGCTCCCAGCCCTAACTCCATCAAATCTCCAATAAGCTCTAGCCATCGAGAAGTGTCGGGTTCCCTGTTCCACCGCTCTCGGACCATCCTCTGTACATCGGTGACACGACCAGCAACTGAGCGAAGCTCCTCCATGGACTTGGACGAGGCACTGGTAGGTTGTCGTCTTTGAAGATACCTGGCCATTTGACCCCAAATATTCCACCAGACAGTGTAGATGAAATTCCCAGGATCTGACCAGCGGTTGTCGTAGAACACTGCGCCCTTGTATGACATTGTCTTAATCTGTACAAAAGACATAGAGCGTACTGCAATTCCCACGATCCCAATAAGGTCCTTGCATGCCTTGCTTGAGAAAAATTCCTCAAAGAGATTCCATAGCTGCCTGAGGGGTATCTCGAATTCGCGCCCCTTCTCATACATGTGGAGTGTGACGCATTTCCGTGGGTTGTATGATCCTGAATTTACAGGAACGATCTCGGAACTTTCGATTGCCAGTGCACGTGGGCAGACGGATGCCCACGCCTCGAAGATACAGCACTGGAGAGACTTTGAATTCCATGGCCTGACGACCCTCTGAGGGGCAAGCATGAGAGTGTGTTCCCAGATAACTTGAGAAGGGGTTGGAGCAGAACGGGCAAAGCGAATTGAACCAAAATGACTACAGGAAGCAACCAGGACACCAGGACAACCGAAAGATGTGGATTCAAAAGATGGAGAGATAGAGAAAAGAGATGCACTTTATCAGGGGTCGGACGGCAGTCATCGTCCTGGCCAGCGAAGTGGAATTAACAATCCCAGGCCAAACCCATTTGTACTGAAGTGAAGAAGCAAACTGATCGCCCAACTACCCCAAGAAGAAACTTGAAACTTGAAGCTTGAAACTTCGGGGCCCTGGGCAAAAGAGTGAGAAGAAACCCCACTTAACCCCGTCAGCCGAATTGAGAAGAATATGATGCAGTCCCAGCTCATGATAAACGGCCTGGAGGCCTAATACCCTGAGACACTTGTAATCCCAGGCATTCCCAGATTGAATCGAAAGTCATAATCCTGACAATGTGATGAAATTAGCAATCCCATCCAAGCCCGTTTGAACTGAAGTGACGGACCAAACTAAGAGCGAAGCAATCCCAAGTTAAGAAATGTTCCATCGAGGCTGTGGGCGAAGAGCAAGAATCGACCCCACTACTTTGGCCCTGACGGACGTGTTGAAGAAAGCAGAACTTAATCCCTGCCTCAGAGAAATGACCTGGGGTCTCACTGAAAGCCCTTGTAACCCCAGATTGATCCAGAGTTGAACCAAGAAGAGAGCTGAGGACCCGAGGGGAAGAGGCACTTTAGCTGTATCTTCTGAACTGCCTCGGTCACATCAGGAAACGAGGTTTGCAAAGCAGATGGCACCTTACATTAGCACCGTTATTGCCAGACTCCACCGTGATAAGATCTCCAACATCTTCAAACATGTCCTTGACGTAGAGGAGTGCAACAATGCAGCTGCCAGCGAAGATCTGAGATTTGTCATGTAACCTTTCCTTCTTAGGGCAGACCTCTGGGCCAATGAACGCTTCTTTGGTATAAAACCGCGCATTGAACAAATGAATATCCTTGGAACGAAACGTGTTGAGCCCAAAGTGCCAGAGAATCTTCGTGACGTCCCTGGTAGTGAGAAAGCCGTGCTCTCCCAAAATTGGGATACTGTCTGAAACCAGAGGCCCTTGATTGTCGATGATGAAAGGCGTAAGCTCACGAGCTGTGATGATTTGGAAGTGTTCCCCTACCTTTGCCTTGAAGGTGTTCAAACCTGTAAGCTGGGGAACGAAAGCCATAATGTAGCGCCTTGAGCTGGTGTGGTCTGTGCCGCCCTTTGGGGCGAAAATTGGGCATCCTGAGCGATCGTACTCCAACTGAGACTTCAACACTGGAGGGCCCAACTTACTGATCCAAGGCTTCTTATCCTGTTCCCAGCTCTTTGGGGCAGGCTGCGACCTTCGGTCAGGCGAGTCGACTTCCGCTTCAGAGCCAGAGGAGGAACTCCTGGAGTCTGGTGATCCCGAAGACGGTACTTCCCAGGTAGTGCCGCCCACAGGTTTGACAGGTGTTTCCCCACGGTAGTCCTGCGTCTCTGGTAAGGCATCATCCGACTCGGGCTTCGACCCCGACCCGCCACCCTGCAGCTGTTTCTTGAACCCAACTGAGTACTGCATCTTTCTGGCAATCGGTGAACGGCTCCGAGACGCCGAGTCTCCCCTGTGCACAGGTGCTGGGGGCGGCGTGGGGAGTATCCTGGCTTCGCGAGGGTCAGCACTGGAGGATGCTTTGGCCTTGAGACCCTGATTCTTGAACTCGACTGTCCTTGCTTGGTCCTCCTTTTTCTGTTCGAGCTTCTTCTGCAGCTTGACTTTCTTCTCATTCGAGGTAAGCACGGGCTTCGTTTCCATCTTAACCAGACGCTTCCGAGCCCAACGATCTAGTGCGTGGCGATCGAATCCAAAGAAAAGGGGGATAGTCGGCTGGATCTGATTCCCAATCAAATCCAGATCCTGAGAGTAACAGGTGTCCGTGGTGAAAGTAAAGGGAGCCCCGCTGGGCGAAGTACGATAGCAAAAGTGTGTCTGGGTTGCGCCAGACAGAGCCGATGGCTACTGAGGGCGAAGGTGAAGCGGTTGCCGAACCCAATCAAGCATTTCTTGAGCAAGCCCCAAACGAAACTTTTTGTCCCGAGAGCCCTGAGGAGAAAATAAGGTGGTCCAGGCATCCTTGTCATACCTGAAAACGCACCCCCTATGCGAGCGTGAGTGGGTACGGCTGCCACCAAAGTTGTCAAAGGAGCGATTCTGAATAACCCAATGCTTGCAATATTGAAACAGCCTCGACGAAAAATCTTCTGGATGTCTTTGCATGTGTGAAACCCAACTAATAGCTGAATCCAAATGGAAAATGGCCCATGAGACCACTTTGAACCCCTTGGTTTTGCGATTTCTGCGTAAACTGAATTGTTCGGGAGATTCCCCTGGGAGCCTTCTGAGCTTCAACATGATCCTGATACATTGATTCTGGGCCTTGGTAATCAAATCCGCCGTCGTCTTACAAGGGGCCCAGGCAGCACCTCTGGAACGGATAATCCCCCCCGCCATACAGTTAAGTTTAGAGAGACGTTTAGACATGGGGATCTGCTCGTTAATCAAGAACCTACTGTTAGCCCAAAAGGCTTTGTTGATCTGTGAAATACCCTGCTTGACATCTTCGTGACATGAACCAGTGGCGGAGAGAATTGGACCCAGCACCTTGGCCTCCGGAACTACAGACCAAGTTTTCCCAAAGGGATCAGACCACTTGTATCCTTGGAAGAAGTAGGGGTATGCCGGAAGGATTTCCCGATCGTCTTTGAGTTTGAGTCGATGTTCATTCCAGAGCTCCGACTCTACCAGTGCGGTCAGAGTTGCTAGGTCTTGTTCTGAGGACGCCACCACGAAAATATTATCTGACCAGCTGAGAAGAGCAATCCTGAAATCGAAGCCCAACTGCTCGCAACGGATAGAGATTCCCAAGGAAGAATGGGTGATTTTCTCCAGGGTGGAGGCGAAACAATCTTCTACGGAAGCGCGCGCCAGTATGCATGCCGTCCCAGCTCCTTGCATCAACCCACGGTCGTATCGCATTGGAGAAGAAAGAGGAGGGGTCGCATCGGAATGGAGGAGGGGTCGCATAGTGATGAGGAGGAGAAGGAGGAGGGGTCGCATCAGCTTGCATCGGATCGGATGTGTGGAGCATTGGCGCTGCTACGAAGCTACTGCGGTGATGTCTACCCCCGTGTAACAATACATATCTGGATGGCGGGGAGGAGGACGAGGAGGAGGAGGAGGAGGAGGAGAAAGAGGAGGAGGAGAGAAGGGGGAGGGAGAGGGAGGAGGAGGAGGAGAGGGGAGGAGAGGAGGAGGAGGAGGAGGAGGAGGAAGATGTAGGAGGAGGAGGAAGGAGGAGAGAGGAGGAGGAGGAGGAGGAGGAGGAGGAGGAGGGGGAGGAGGAGGAGGAGGAGGAGGATATGAGGAGGACGAGGGCGAGGAGGAGGAGGAGGGGGAGGAGCTCACGGATGAGGAAGAAGGGGAAGGATGAGGAGGAGGAGGAGGAGGAAAAGCAGGAGGAGGAGGAGAAGTGGGAGATATGAGGTGGACCGAGGAGGATGAGGAGGAGGAGGAGGAGGAGGAGGAGGAGATGGAGGAGGAGATGGAGGAGGAGTTGGAGTTGGAGTAGGAGTTGGAGTTGGAGTAGGACCGAGGAGGAGGAGGAGGAGAAGGAGGAGGAGGAGGAGGAGGAGTTGGAGGTCACAGATTTGATACACCTGTGCCAAATCTGAAACCTCCAACTCCTCCTCCCCCTCCTCCTCCTCCTCCTCCTTCTCCTGGAGTTGGAGTTGGAGTTGGAGTAGGATCGAGGTGGAGGAGGAGGAGGAGGGGGATGTGACCTCGCTAGCGCTGTCGTCGCCAGCGCCGACCTGGGTGTCGGCAGCCTCGCCCGTCGTGGTGTTGGCAGCCTCGACCTCGCCCTTCGTGGTGTCGGCAGCGCCCTTCTCGGTGTCGGCAGCGTCGACCTCGCCCTTCTCGGTGTCGGCAGCGCCGACCTCGCCCTTCGTGGCGTCGGCAGCGTCGACCTCGCCCTTCGTGGTGTCGGCAGCTTTGTCCTCGCCCTTGGTGTCGGCAGCCTCGACCTCGCCCTTCGTGGTGTCCGCAGCTTTGTCCTCGCTCTTCGTGGTGTCGGCAGCGACGACCTCGCCCTTCGTGGTGTCGGCAGCGACGACCTCGCCCGTCGTGGTGTCGCCCTTCGTGGTGTCGGCAGCTTTGTCCTCGCCCTTCGTGGTGTCGCCCTTCGTGGTGTCGGCAGCGACGACCTCGCCCTTCGTGGTGTCGGCAGCGACGACCTCGCCCGTCGTGGTGTCGCCCTTCGTGGTGTCGGCAGCGTTGTCCTTGCCCTCCGTGGTGTCGGCAGCTTTGTCCTCGCCCTTCGTGGTGTTGACAGGCTTGGCGACGACCTGCTCGGCCGTGCCATCCCCACAGGTAGCTGTCTCAACCATGATCTTCTGAATAGTTGACTTGGCCACCTTCTCGGGCGTCTCCATGTCGTCCGTCGGCACGTCCTTGGCCTTGCGCTTCTTGCCCTGCCCTTCTTCGTCTTGCGCTTCTTCTTGGTGCTGCCGTCCTGGCTCTTAACGTCGACCTGCTCGTGCCAGTCCGTGTTCGTCAAGTCCCACTCGTCCCACTCGCCCTCCTTGTGCCAGTCGCCCCACTCGTTCCACTCATCGTCCCACTCATCGTCCAAGTCCTCGCCCTTACTCTCGAGCTTCTTGAGGTCTCCAGGTGTCGCGGCGGATGAGCTGCCAGGTGTTCCGCTTCCTGAACTGCCAGGCGTCGCGCTTGATGAGGACTTCTTCGTAATCTTGACCTTCTTTTTTGCTGGGCCCGCATCGCCACCGTCGGAAGCCGTCGGCAATCCTTTGCTCTTGAACTTCTTAAGCTGTCCCCTCATGTAGTTGCAGCGCGCGTGCTTGTCGTCCTCGACCTTGCCCTCCGAGAAATCGGCCATCACCTGCGATAAGAACACGACGGCCTCGCTGACGGACTCGAAGTCGACGAGAGGCAACTGAATGATTTGCTCCTTTCCAGCCTTGCATTTGTCCGAAGCTCGGAACCCGAGCAGAAGCGTGCCGCTATCTTTTTTCACCGTCTTCATGATCGTGTAGTCAATTCCCTGAGGCGACGTGACCTTGAACAGGTGGCCTGTGGCCTTCGTCGTCATGTCGATCCTGTTCTTCTCGTTGATCTCACCGACCGTCACGTCTTTGCACTCCCACTCGTCGCCGTCAGAGAAACTAGCGCACGTAAAGTCCCGATCGTTGTTCTTATCTGGCTTCTTGTAGAGGCAGGCCCACTCCTGCGGCGCTCTCCTCCTCCTCCTCCTCCTCATCCTCCTCCTCCTCCTCCTTCTCTTCCTTCCCTCCTCCTCCTACTCCTCTTCCTCCTCCTCCTCCTCCCTCCTCCTCCTCCTCCCTCCTCCTCCTCCTCCTCCTCCTCCTCCTCCTCCTCCTCCCCTCCTCCTCCTCCTCTTCCTCCTCCTCCACCTCCTCCTCCTCCTGCTCCTCATCCTCCTCCTCCTCCTCACTCTCTCTCTCTCTCTGTTGTCATCTTCCTTCTCCTTCTCCTTCCACCGACCCCTTCTGTGAGGAAGGGGGGGTGCATGAGCTGGTTTACCCTTACTCCTTGCGCTGGTGCTTGCCAGCGGTCACGCGCCAGGCCATCTCCTTGGCGGGGTCGTAGCCGTAGACGTAGCATCTGGGCTCTTCCTCCTCGACCTCGAGTTCATCGTCGTCCGAATCGTCCCACTCGTCGAGGTCCTCGACCTGCTGGCTGGCGGTGCCGATGGCGTTGGGATCGATGCCGCCGTGCTCCTCTAAGCATTCGTCTGATGACACGGCGGCCTGGGCGTCCTCCATGCGCAATGCATCATCGACCCAGCTGTTCTCGTTGCGGATCGCCCTCTGAACGTGGCTGCACAACCTGCGGATCCGCTCGCTGTAAGTCTTGACCCACGCCGCATCGTGTCTACTTGGAAGGTCCGTGGGCCAGCTGCTCCGCGTATCAGTGAGAACCTCTTGCATCGCCTCATTGGTTTTCTTCGCCTGGAAGGTCAAGTTCGGCTGAAGCTGCATGAGGGCGATCACCAATCGTCGATTTTTCCTCACATGCTGCCGAGACACTCCACTGGTAGGGTAGCTCAACCAGCTCGCATTGACCGAGAATGGCTTGATGGCCTCGGCGAGCTCCTGGGCGGAGCCCTGGTAGCCAGGGAGCGGGGACATGGCCAACTGCGAGGCCGAGGGTCCGAGGAGGCGTCGATCAGCCAACTGCCTGGCACCGATCTGGCGTCAAAGACGCCTGAGCCCAAATGGCTTGTACGAGGAGGTAGGTGTGGAGGAGGCATCATGGAGTTGGGAGGCTCCCCACTAGCAGGCTCTTCCTCTTCCAATACCCCTTCACCCCTTCTCTCTCGGCCTCGAGGGCCATAGGGGGTCCGAGGTGGCAGATGGTACCCAGGATGGCCCGAGGTGGCTCCAAGAACGTTCTCAGATTGGGGGAGGAAGGAGGAGGAGGAGGAGGAGGAGGAGGAAGAGGAGGAGGATCGAGGAGGATCGAGGTGGAGGAGGAGGATCCGGACGAGGATGAGGAGGAGGATGATGAGGGGGAGGGGGAGGGAGGGAGAAGGATGAAGCGAGGAGGAGGAGGAGGAGGAGGAGGAGGGGGAGGAGGACGAGGACGAGGCGGAGGGGCCTGAATGGAGGAGGGGGAGGGGAGGGAAGGAGGGAAGGAGGAGGAGGAGGAGGAGGAGGAGGAGGAGGGGGAGAGGAAGCAGAGGAAGGAATGATACGGGAGCAGGAGGACAGGGGAGAGGGGGGGAGGCGGAGGAGGAGGAGGAGACGGATGAGGAGGAGGGAAGGGAGAGGATGACAGGGTTTCAAGATGATGCCCCCCGAAATGTTTTCAAGGGGCTACCTGGCTTATCAATCGTGTCTTGATGGGCTGGAGGGACGCGCGAAACGCCAGGTACAGAACCTTTCTTTCACATTGCACCCCTCGGCCCGCTCGTGCATCTAAAGTGTATACGACAAGCTGTGTTGGAGACATGGATGCTCCTCCTCCTCCTCCTCCTCCTCCTCCTCCTCCTCCTCCTCCTCCTCCCTTCTCGTCCTGCTCCTCCTCCCTCTCCTCCTCCTCCTCTTCCTCCTCCCCCCTCCTCCTCCTCCTCCTGCTCCTTCCTTTTCCTGCGGCGGCCTCCGCAGAGGAGGAGGAGCGACAGGGAGAGGAGGAGGACGAAAAGAAGAAGGAGGAGGAGAACGAGGCGGAGGGAAGGGAGGAAGAGAAGGAGGAGGAGAAGGAGGAGCAGGAGAAGGAGGAGGATGAGGATGTGAAGAAGGATGCGCTCGGCACGCGTGCGCGCCTCGATCGCGCGTCTTGGAGCGCGCGAGGCACTACTTTATCGCGCGCGCTTTGGCGGCGCGCGATCATGAACGACGACGGTCCCATCGGTCGCCGCATGCGTTGCTCGTCGTGCGAAAAGCAACGCTAACGCTAAGTCGAACCACGCACGCATCTCATGTGTGCGTGGTGAATCGTGAGCGCATATGATGCGCTCACGTCAAGACGTGATAACACGTGAGCGCATCTTTTGCGCTTACACCAGCAAGCGCATTTAAATGCACCTGCTGCACCCCAGGGTGCGCGGGCGACGAAACGACGACCCCTAACACAGGACATAGCGTTAAAACACATGTTAGGTCGATGTGCGTTAGCGACACGCCTAGCGTTAACTCTATTGTTATAACGATATCTCTAGATACGAGGCCGACCGTTACACGTTGGCTTCGGTCGTAATTCATGACCCAACGACCTAACGTTGCCGCTGGTGTTCGACCGAGGCCCATGATCAAGCGGCAACTCATCAGGGTACTCCCACGCGCGAACAGATACCCACGCATGTTACTGCGGTGCGCACCCGAGCTCTGATATGTCGAATGGGGCGTTGGCAAATCCGACGAGGCATCGGGTCGTCTGGGACGGTTGCAGCTAGGGCTCCTCCATCACGGAAATGCCAACCACATCATTGAAGAGGTCGGTGTTGTGCTTGCTCGCGATGAGAGCCACTGGTGCGGGCGCGCGGCAGGGTGTCAGACCTCCACAACTCTGTCATCCTTCATGACGTGCACCTGGCTGGCCGAAAACGCTCGAAAATGATTTCGCGCGCGGATTTCTCACAGCTGAATTGCTTGATCTCGGGGCCAAACAGGCCACTGGCAGAACCCCGGGGACTCTGGGGCCTCGCGGCTCAAGGACACGAGGCGCAGAGGATTCGACGGGCTCTTTTTTTGCAGAAATCTACGCCAGATCACGCGACCGACGCAGTTGCGCAATGCCCGAGATTGCTCCAACACGGCGCGTCACAGCCAAGGTACTTTCACATAGTGAACGTCTGGAATGAGATCCCTGAGGCGGCCATCAATGCCCCGTGTCAAACCCCTGAAGCAGCTCCCAGGACATCTGCCTGAAGAACCGCAGTGCGACGCTGGAACAACCTCCTTGGGAACCAGGCCGCCCGCGGCAGCGGCCGCAGCGATTCGGACCGCGGCGGGGGCGCTGATATGCCCCAGCCCCATCTCCTCCAACTGAACATGAATGAGCTGAGACTGCCCGTCCCTGTGCAGGTCCTGCGCTGCAAGTCTCCGGCGAACTCTCGTGCGGCGACGCTTCGGCCGAGGCTCGTCGCCATCATGGGCAGACGTTGCTGGGTTGCCAGGAGGCCGATGCTTCTCGTGAAAAACTCGATCCACGAGGCTGCGGGCCCCGATGCGAGGGCGAAGCGGACTGGTTGACATTGCAGCCAGCAGTGGGTTCCCGAATCTGTGCGACTATCACATATTCCAGGAGGGCCCAGAATCGCATCGATAACTCGGATCGGCGATCGAAATGAATCGGGTCGGCAGAGACATCGGCAGCCAAGTCGGGAACAATCGAACCGGCGGACGTCGGCAAACTAACAAGCATCCAAGAATAAGTCGGAACGCACATCGGAATCCCAACCCGGATCGAATCGGAATCGGAAGCCGTCGGAACCGAATCGGATCGAATCGGAAAAACCGAAACAAGCCCTGATATTCGGAGACAATGTTAAGGTGGGTGTGTTGGTCGAAGACACGCGTGATAGGGGGCCCGGGGTCTAGCGGCCGATAGACGGCCTGTCGCGGCCAGTTGTCGCTCTCAACGGTGGTGCCGTTTCTCGTTCGAGTTGCCGATGTTGCTCTGCATGCGGGCGTTGAAGTGCAATTGCCCTCCGCGCCTCTCTCCCCTGCCCCGCCCCCAGGTGCCCCGCGAGCGGGGCGCCGCGGGCCGGGCTGCGTCGCGGGGGCCGCGGGCGATCAGGGGGGAGAGGGGGGGGGGGGAGGGGGAATGGCCTCGACCTTGCCCCGAGCGACGTCGAAACTGCCGTCGGCGTGAACCTCCCGCGCCGACTTGAGGCGGTTCCGCGACGCCGCCATCTCCGAGCGCGAGTCGGTGATGACCTGGTACCCGATCAGCTTGCGGCGGCAGAGCTCCGCCCTCCCGTCCAAGGACAACTTGGCGAGGCCGCCGCGCTCGACGCTCGCGCGATCTATACCTCCTCAGCTTCCTGCTTGCTACAGAAGAGGAACCCAGTGCCAGCGGAGGCACCGAGCTCCCGAGCTCCTGATGCAGCAGGCTTGCGCAGGGCAAGCTTGACGCACTTGGGCTTGCCCTTCGCCTTCGGCTTCTGCGTGCCCTTCGCCTTGGAGGCCCCCATCGCCTTCGGCGCCATCTCGATCGCCGAACCAATGCGACGTCGCTCGGCGGACACGCGCGCTGGGGCCTCAGCCATTCTCTACACTCGCGCCCCGTCGTTTCCATGACATCACTGCTCGCGCAGAGTCGCGTGGACAGCAATGACCCGCGCGCCCCGCGCGCGAGGGCTACTGGCCACATGAGCAGGGGCTACTGACAGAACACCAAGCCCACGAGTCCTCTCCCCCGCCCCCTCCCTAGCCCCCCGACCCACGCACCCCGTTCTCCTGGCCTTCTCGCACTCGCCCACTCATATCGCCGAGAACCTCTCGTGCCCGTGCGCCCCCCTCTCCTCCGCCCCCTTCTACTCCTCCCCGCCATCAACTAAATCGCCGCAGCTTCTCACCGACCCAAAATCCAATCGGCCTCGAACTCAGAGCCCGAAGGCTCGGCGGCGGGGGCGGCCGCCCTGCGTCCCTGAGCCGTCGGCCCCTCAGGCGCTGGGGGCACGGCGACGGGCCCCGCGGCGGTTGCAACGAGCCCCTGGGGCTCCGACGGCGCGGCCTCAGGAGCAGACGGCGGCTGCGG